TATAGTCAATCAAGCTTACTTATTCAAAATATAGCTTATTCAGCTAAATCTATTATCTAAATTCATATCGGATTTGTGAAAAAAGTATTCGATATATTGATTTTGATCGAAATTCCGACATTCTCATATGAATTTCTGAAAAAATGAGAAAAAATCCAATAGATTCAAGATTCCGATATATCCCAGGCCGGTGTAGTCAAGTTGTTCTATAAGATTATATATAGTAAATGAATTTAATTCTCTTTATATCTTTCTATAATATTTATTTATTTATTTATTTACTTATTTATTTATTTATTTATCTTAATATTATCTCTCTATTCTTTTAATATATCTTTCTTATATAAATATTTTCTTAATAATTACTCTATAAAATACATACCAATATATCTATCTATCTATTATCTATATATATCTCCTCAAGCTCAATACAATATAAAAAAAAGTCATTAATAAGATTACATAAAAAAAAATCACCTTTCCTTTACAATCATCTATTTATTTACTAATCCATTCATTCATTCATTTACATCATCTGCAAACTTCAAATTATATTATACTACATGACACATATATATTATATCATACAATCCTACAACTTATCAATCTAAATCTAAGTCCAGGAATCAGATTAGCAGCATAGCAATGAGATGGGGTTGGGATTTGGAATGTGGGATATATGATGTAGGATACGTGATGTAGGATAGAGTAGGAGGGTAAGTGGTATGGTGTACGGGACGGGGTATGGGGTATAAATTCATAGGATGGGTAGTTTGTGGATTGTGGATGGAGTGAGGGAGTAAGATGTGGAGGAAGAGAAGAGGGGGGTTGAGATATTGCTATTGGTATGGGTATTGATGTGGTGTTGGTTTTGGTATCGGTATTTATATTAATATTGCTGTTGATAGTGTAGTAGTAAGTAGTACTATATACAGGGCTGAAATCGGGGCTGAGTTTGTTGTGCTATGTTGTGTTATGTTATGTTATATTATACCTAGGTTGGTGTTATATTATAATATAGACTTGAGATTGGAGATTGGAGATTGAAGATTCGGAAAGGGAGGAGAAGGGGGGGAGTTTGTTGCGATTGGATTTTTATAGATGAGAAGTTAGTGATAGGAATATTAGATTAGAATATTAGGCTAGATATTCAAATATGCAAATTATTGAATAATAATAGATATAGTAAATAAGGAAATCCGATCATTTCTTACAAGTTTCTTTTCTTTTCTTTTCTTTAACCTATGTGGGTGTGTATGTGGAAATTGGTTTCTTGAGATTTAATTCAGTTAGGTACCTAGTTGTATATACGAAATGAAACTCTTTCTCTTTTCTCTTTTCCAGGTGTGACTATGCGACTGTGTGACTACTTAGTATGCTATAGAAGATAGAAGATAGAAGACGGATTCTAGATCTACCTATCTATCTAGATATTAGAAAGGCACTAGGAAATGTGATTCTGGGTAGGTACTCGTACTTTACATGATTGATGTTTTAACATAGAATCTGTAATATATATATATAGAAGATCTTATAAAATAGACTTGAGATTATTTTACTCGTGGAGTGTATATGAATATGTTAGAGCGGGGTAGATATCGGTAGAAGTAGGTATATATGTAGATAGATAGATATCAATAAATCATACATACCCGACTATATACTCACCTCGACAGGAGAGATGGGAAAATATCAAATATTCAAAGATTCAAAAACTGTTATGGATGAAAGCGAGATGATACCTCCTATATACCTATCTCGATATCGTATAAGTATAGGTATGAGTGAGCACCGCGGAATTTTCAAGTCTCAAAATCTTTGCTGTTGCTCGATTCTGGATTCATTTATAGCTACCTAGGTAGGTGTACTAAGGTGATAGATAAATGAATATAATTATGTTTGTTCTACGAATGCTGATGTGTCGGAGTGGAATCTGAATTTTAGAATCATCTCTCTCTTAGATTTACGCTTTCCTCGGGTTTGTGATTTTCTTTGATATTTTGAGGTGGATGAATAGATGGATGGATAAGGTTCAGACATCTTAAGTGTGTAGCGAGAATTGATGTGGAGATGGATCTAGATGAATGAAAAGATGGATGAAAGGATATATACTTCCATATGGATATTAGTATGTATACTGTGTGTTTGTATCAGAAATTTAGAATGAGATTTTGGCTTGAGGATATTGGTATGGTGTATACTAGGTAGATAGATAGATAGGTGTGCCGAGGAAACATATTGTTTTTTTGATATCGTAGAGAAGTTGGTGTTTGGATGTGTATTTATATCAGTGTGATGTATGGAGTTCTTCTAGTATGTAGATAGATAGATGAATGAGTGAAAAAAGAGAAAAGAAAATGATCTTGGATGCGAATACGTGGTAGGTAGTTGTCGATACTTTCTGAAGAGTTGAGCGCTACGTGTAATTATAATTCGATATCTACTTAGTTCAGACTAATAGATAGTCAGTCCTGATTGTCAACCTGCAAGTATCTATTGAAAAGATCGACTACTAAAATCTAGAGCTTGAGCTTCTCAGGAAAGGTGGATGGAATTGTAGATCTTTGATGATCTCTGAGCTTATTCAATTCTGACAGTTTGAACATGGAGCGATTGGAGTCTAGTAGGTGTTGGTATGTATTCCAGAGCCAGAGATCGATATTGGTATCTGTCTGTGCGTATAGTCTCCAAAGTATATCTTTAAATAGGTAGATACTAGGTATGGCCACACAGAATGATATGCATATACTTTAGGCTTGATGAGTTGCATTCGGCAAGATATATCCCGATCGGCAATGAACTTATTGCCAAGATAAAGGATGGAGACTTCAATATCATACTAGGTTTTCCTCATGGTATTTCAAATTTTCAAGCCTCCCATGAGATGGATGGATGTGAAAGTTTGAAGCGGGCAATAGTAAGATATCTGTGTGCCACAAACGCTTAGCAGCATGGGATTTTCGGTATGGGTAGGTCATCCATGCGTTTGCAATCGGCAACATGTTATGTATGTTTCTCATGCAAGATTCCGTCTCTCACCTAGAGCATGAATCTGTCGACAAACGAAAACGTGTAGATCATGGCAAGGAAAGGGAGAATTGAGAAGATCTGTCAAATCCCTTTTTCCACGTTCCGATGGAAAGACAAAATGTAGACTTCGTGTTGCGGGAATATGTTCAGGGTGACAGTATTAAATTTATTAATTTCTCCTTTTACTTGTGGTCGCTGGAAAGACTTGTGTGAGATGCTTACCTAGCACTCTATTGTGTCTTTTGATATTGAAGGGATCCGATTTTCTCCGCCTTTTGGAGAGCACCTATTCCACCATCTCCATCATCTCCACCATTCGCTCTATTTCTCCGGGGTAATGTTACCAGGATCCAGATTGAATAGTTGTCGACTCAAAGGTGAGGCTAGTATAACATAATAAAATTGTTGAGCATCGATCTACTTACCTAGGTAATATATGCCAGCTAATGGAGAGCGAAGGCAAGAACACCTAGTAGGTACTTTGTCTTTATGATATTCTCCTCCGAGCTATCGAAGCAATGACTCAATCGATTGATCATATATCATGGAAATTTTCAACTTTTGGCTGAACATTATGTACCTGCATTACTTATATAAGCCACTGAAATCCTACCTACCTAGGTGAACTTGGTCAACCAATAGAATCATACCGTCGTTTATGTTGTGCATACCTAGTACTTCCAGGTTGCCTCGGTTGTCAACGGTTTGAATGCCAAGAGAGGCGCTAGATCTCTTAGTTCACCTTTCAATACCTAGTAAGCCTCATGGAGAAAATCAAACCACCACACACTAGGTAAGGTTACGACATTCTTGTCTTTTCGATATCTTGATTATCATCACGTTGATCCGCAATGGATATCAATATCACTACTCCACACTGTCAAATATTAACAAACAGTAGATTACTACCTAGTCGTCACTCCCTAAGATATAGTTGTCCAATCACATCCCCATGAACAAGTTACCAAGTATTGTGTTTGCATACTGGATTCCAAATGAACAACCGGCAACGCCTTTGGAAGGACGACCCATTAACGTCACAAGCAAATTCAGATGATTCGCCGGTAGAAGGAATACCAGAATATTGCCGAATAATAACTTGGTTTAGTCGCACAGCATAGCATGGCGCAGAATCCTTACAACTAGGTATACATTACAGATATTGACCACCTGGGTGATAGTATTGTCTTCCTCGTCGGAGAAAAAATTCCATATTGACCACACAAGTGCGTGAAAAGACCCGAGGCACTGAACTCTATCATGAGCTACTAGGCAGACCATTGGACCCAACACTCCTAACAGCATGAGCTAAGAGACTTTCCCAATCTTTTCCTGGAAGCGTCAGCTAAATCGTCGCCTATAGACTTTCTTGACAATCGTCCTCACAGAATCTATTGATCTTCACGATCTAGTTTCATTTAGAGCTGCGACGCATAGATAGATAAGACGTTCTCACGACTAGATCTATACTAAGAACCATACCAGACAGGTTCGAGCAAGCCTAGATCTTTCTTCCTAAAAAGCTTAGGGTTGTACTCAATAGTTATCAAGATTTAAAATCTTTCTTCTCAATCTTTTCAACATCCATCATTCCAACAATCTACTGTGAACAGGTGTCTCAGTCCTTCATCACCCACTCTTTTATTATCTGACCTTCGTTATACCGTGTAACTGTACAAGGGCATTTGAAAAGTCTACAAGGCGGTTTTCAGGTTCCCGAAAACTCTTGACACACTCTCTGTATGTATTCATATTCTGATGTACTCCTAGTCAGATGCAAGAGCCTTGTGGGAGCATTTTTCTGATAAGATAAACAGTCACTCGTGTCACAAAGTAACACTTTTCCACGTTTTTGTAACGTCAAGATCGAAATTAACAATCAATTGTATAAATTTCCTTCCGGACTCAGTTGCGAAAACCACCGACAAGAATTCTTAACATCTCCATTTGACTACTAGGATCTCATAAAGATGGGTTTAGGAAACTATTTTAAACCAAAGAAGCCTGAGCCGGCGACTGGAGCAGGATCTTCTACCATTAATGAGAAGCAAGCTTCTACTGGGATCCCACAAACAGGCAATAACGCCTCGTTGCTTCAACCTATGAATGACAACCCTGCTTCGCAATCATCGACAAGAACTTCCACCTCGAATCGATCAAATGTTGGCTCAAACTTGATTGGGGGTATAAAATACGAGGTTATGGTCAACTACATCCATCAACAACAATGCGCAAATCTCTGGGTCAGTGATGATAGTGGCGAATATGAGGGTGTTGTACTTAGGAAGACAAGAGGTACATACCTGGCTTGCCCGCCACAATTAGAAAGTTCTTCCTTTGCGGCAGCATGTGCAAGTCTTAATGTGCAAGTAAGAAACTCTGATAAATCATTTGAGCTCACAGGTTGCTAATATACACAGTGCGCAATGACAGTAAATTCTCGAGTTATCAAGACTTTTCTAGAATGCTCGCCAGAGGCTATTGATGTCCCGCTTTTGAATGGTCTCAGGATACAAATTGTACCAGCAATGGAGGATTTACCTCGCGCGAGGAAACATCAATTTGCTGCATTTGTTGCATCTGATGCTTTGCTAGTTGTGTGGGATGATGATGCCTTAAATTTAATCGAACGAGCCAAGAAAATTCAAGGAGAATTAATGGAATTGGTTTGGAAGCTTGAGGAAGAAATCAAGGAAGAAAGGAAAGCTCTAGATGTTACCGCTGTGGAAATGGACGTAGAAACTGGCCGACCTCTACCACAAACGCGTGCACTACACTTGCAAAACACAATTTTGGTCACTCTTACCCTCATTTTGATCATCACAACTCTGGGTCTTGGCATTCGTCAAATAACCGTTGAGACCAGTGTCGATAAAAAGTACAGTCGTTGGGCACTCCTGATTTTGACCCCCGTCCAGGTGTTCTTCACTCTTTTCTTCGCTCAAGCCATCGTGGGATGTCTGGCTCAGCTCTTCGGACCCGTACGACAAATGAAAGCCAACTCCAAGTTTTACTCCGCTGAAGCACCACCACGTATTCTCAAAGGGAATCTTCCACACATCACAATCCAGTGCCCCGTCTATAAAGAGGGACTAGACTCCGTTATTGCACCCACTGTGAAATCCATCAAGGCAGCCATTTCTACGTATGAATTACAAGGTGGTTCAGCCAACATGTTCATTAACGATGATGGTCTTCAAATTCTTGGTGCGAAGGAACGACAAGCAAGAATTGACTTCTATGCTGATCACAGTATTGGATGGGTTGCTCGGCCAAGACATGGAGACAATTTCACCAGAAGAGGAAAATGTAAGTCTCCGTTCGAAAATATTTGAAGTACCTTCGCTAATACTCAAACAGTCAAGAAAGTAAGCAGCCATCACGCCATTGATGTCATTATTTGCTGCGGTGAATTTACTCAAACGTTATGACTTATGCTAACGTTATTTCTTAGGCTTCCAACATGAACTTCGGACTTCATATTTCTTGTATGGTTGAGGAGAAGTTAGCCTTGATTCAAAGACCCTTGGATTGGACTCAAGCAGATGAAGCACAAGCATATGGAAGATGCTTGACAGAAGCTTTGGAAGACAATGGCCGAGCTTGGGCTGATGGAAATGTTCGCATTGGCGACTACATCCTGCTGAGTAGGTTTTCATTTATCTCAACAAAGAGACTCATCTAACATGCTTTAGTCGATTCTGATACTCGCGTCCCCTCGGATTGTTTATTGGATGCTTGCACTGAAATGGAATTATCTCCTGAGGTTGGCATTATGCAATTCTCGTCTGGTGTTATGCAGGTTGTCAATACTTATTTCGAAAATGGTATCACTTTTTTCACGAACTTGATCTATACTGCTATCCGATATACTGTTTCGAACGGAGATGTCGCTCCTTTCGTTGGTCACAACGCTATTTTGCGCTGGGCAGCCATTCAGCAGGTTTCATATGTAGATGAGGATGGATATGAAAAGTTCTGGTCAGAGTCTCATGTATCTGAAGACTTCGATATGTCTCTTCGCCTTCAAGTAAATGGGTACATTATTCGCTTGGCTGCATGGGCTGGTGAAGGATTTAAAGAGGGTGTGTCATTGACCGTTTACGATGAACTTGCTAGATGGGAGAAGTATGCATATGGTTGCAACGAACTTCTCTTTCACCCATTGCGTATGTGGTTCTACAGAGGACCATTTACTCCTCTCTTCCGAAGCTTCTTGTTCTCCAATATACGATTCACCTCGAAGATCACAATTATCTCATACATCGGTACCTATTATGCTATTGGAGCTGCCTGGATCCTAACCACAGCCAACTACTTCGCTATCGGATGGTTCAATGGATACCTTGACAAATACTATATTGATTCCTGGAAAGTTTGGTTCTCCATCGTCATCGTGTTTAACGGTCTTGGAAACATCGCCCTAGCAGGAATGCGCTACCGAGCCGGCGAACGCAGTCTCGGCTACTCCCTCTACGAAAACTTCAAATGGACATTAATGTTGGCCATCTTTCTCGGAGGCCTCTCTCTCCACGTCTCCCAAGCCCTCCTCTCGCACATGTTCGAAATCGATATGACATGGGGTTCCACATCCAAAGAAGCAGAATTCAGTAACTTCTTCATCGAAATCCCAAAGGTCTTGAAAAATTTCAAATTCTCCATGATCTTTTCCCTCCTTGGCATTTCCTGCATTGTCATCCTGGCCACTGCATCTTTCGTTCCGTTCGATTGGCGTATTCAGGATTTCGTGGCCATTTTGCCCATGGCGACCGTTACGGGGAGTCATTTGCTCTTACCTATTGCTCTGAATCCAGCGCTTATGACGTTTTCGTGGTGAGGGCATTGTGAGGTTTTTGAAGCTTTGTTATTTGCTTCGCCTCGCTCGCGTAAAGAGAATGCGCTACACTACAGGTTTGGGTTAGAGGGGCTCGGGTTCTTGGTGTTTAGGGTGTTTGGGGTGTTTAGAGGGAGGATGCTTCGTTTCGCGTTACATGATAAGGTTACGTGTTAGATACTAAATAGGTAGGGATATTAATCCATACATTTATCGTCATGGAATTAAAATAAAATAAATTGATACATCATACATCATTCATAAATAAACACACTGTTTCCCTTGTAATAGTAAAATCACAGCTATGTATAGAGTGGAATGGAGAAGGTAGATGCTGGCTGTTGATAGTTAAATTTTCGTATAGCTGGACTCTTGAGGAAGTGTTTGATCACTTGTTTGCGAGATGGACGGAGCCCTACGGAATAGGATAGGCTGGGCTGGGGTATTTCCTTCCATTTTTCTTCTTAATATAGGTAGGTACATAGGTATATAACCCGATCCATGTTCATACCTTTCCTTTCCTTTTCACAAATGATTTGATATAATATCAACTTACTCCCCCCCCTTCCTTCCCCTTTTCCTTTTATTTCTCTATAATCATTCTTAAATACTCATTTCTGCTTAATCTAGTGTATTTCTTAAATTTCTACTATCTCTTTTTCTTTTCTTAATGTATCTCCCCAACTCCAACTCCAACTCCAATTCCAACTCCAATTTCACTCATCACAACCCCTCTCATAATACCCTAATACCCCAGCAATTTCACCATCGGATTTTCCCCACAAACCCTCTCATACTCATACTCATACTTATATTCATACTTATACTTATACTTATACTCCTCATACTCCTCCCACTCTATCTACGAATTTCAAACAATTTCAAACCATTCCGCCACAGAACAAAATATGAAATGAAATGAAATGAAATGAAATAAATATAGACCGCAGTATTTCAGAAGAGGAGGAGAGTTTGTGTCAGGAGAATAGGTGGGGGAACGAGGTTGTAGATGGATTGTGGGGACGGGGGATATAGGAGGAAGTTTGGTTGAGGATTGTGGATTGTGGAGGGAAGGGGGTTGATGGGGAGGGAGGTACCGGTGTATTGCTGAGAGGTGTTTGGAGGATGGTTTGGGTTTTGGGTTTGGGGAGAGAGAGGGATGACATGATAGGATATAAGTATATGTCTGGTAATAGAATCCTACATACAATCCAACAGTAGGGCTTTTCCCTTCCGAAGTTCAGATCTGACGACAAGTGATATAGCTTCTGTATCTGTATCTATATCATTCCAGATACGCACCTAACTTTATATCGTCGTCGATTTTCCAATACGTAATATGTGCATGAGCAGTATATTGGGAAGTCGCTATAGTCTATAGAGGTGATTTTCAGCGACCCATTAGAGCGCGTGTGAGTATTGGGAAATTGGGATGAGGGTTGAGGGATGAGGGCTGAACAAGGGGAATTGGGATACAATGCTATGGAGATGGAGGAGCAGAGGAGCAGGAGAAAAATTGTGGGGGTTGGGGAGAGGGAGAGAGGAAGGGATCACTGAATGGGATTGGGAGGTTAGCGAGATTATTAACGAAAGCTGAGAAAGCGTCGGTGAAGTTTATGATTCAGGCTGCGTGGATCATGTGGGTGGTTTGGGTTTGAGGTCTTGGAGTGTTGAGTTCGAATTCTTGAGACTGAGAGGAGGATTACTGAGATTGCTTGGGAATCTTATGATTCTTGTCTTGCATCGGAGGAAATTCCATCACGGTCTCTTTGAATCAAAGATTCTTTCATCCGCGCATGTAGATGTTTACCTCGCGCAAACAATAAACTTTATGGACCTCATCATCAAGCAAGAATTGGGCGCTCGTATTCTCGCCTAGGAAGCCTGTGACTGCTGTAAAAACCTGTATTTTATCAACATCTATTCTTCCCGAGAGTCGAGGATACCGTCCCACGATTTTCTTCTCAAAACTATTCGTGTCTGGAATATGTGATTTGGAATTCGAGTATTTCTCAACTGATTTTCTCATAACTTCAAACACATCTTCGGTTCGGTATTCGTCACCTCTCCTCCTATACGAATCGCACATATTTTCTTCGCTAACCCAGCGATTTACATGTTAGAACTCTCAAACACGACGTTTTGACTAAGATGTCGAACATTACCATTACCATCCATGGAAAGGTTTTCAGAAGCAAGTTTCTTGCTTGAATCGCCTCAAGACTATCCCTCCAGTAGTGAAGGTCTCACTTTCGGGACCCGAAAGCTGGATGCCCAAATTAAATCATCAACAAATATCCTCAAGATGTATTATTCCAGTTCCGATTCTTCGAGTTCTAGAGTTCCCGTGTCGGTTTCTTCGAATCGTCGATAGACTTCTTCTATCTGAACGGCAAATTGGCGATACATCTGAGTGCGGATAATAATCCTTTGTCGGTTACGGGATAGTCAGTGCCAGCCGGGAGAGGGAGTATCATTTCTCTACTTATATGAGAGAAACTTTGCGTTTGCATTTGCCTTTTCAATTGCAAGCCAAATGCTATTAATAAACTCCTCATCCGACATTTTTGTGCGGCTTCTGAGTATGACTAGAAGATCTGGTAAAGCTTTATCGATCCCAAAGACCACTGCTTTTTTACAAGTAATTCGTATCTAATGCGTCCTTCTATCAGTGTTGGAAACACTTTCTCTCCATTGATCAATATAATTAATTATCGATTCTGCCTAGATATTTCCAAGCATTGAGAATGAGAGGATGAGGTGTGAAGATATCTTTAAAATGATAGGAACCCGATGGATCATCCGAATTTGCTGTTACTGTTGTGACAAAGATGATAGAAAGACACTTTCGTATGTGTTGTTGTCAATCGGCTTCATATACATGTGGTCTGTCTGAGGGCATGATTCGAAGATAGTTCCAACTATGATCACCTGGCGTACGGCCTCTACTTGAACCAAAAGAGCCGAACTCTGTTTTGGATTCATTTTCAGCAATCTGTGAGTTGTATTTCAGGAATACCTACGCGCCAAACAACATATACAAAATCACACCTCTAATGAGTAAACAAATCAGCAAACATCTCTCTATCCCAGCAACATCCAAACCTCCCTGGAGCCACTGGATCAATTCCCACATATAATAATACATTCCATACCAAAAACAAATAGAAACTGATCACTTGTAAGACAATCACCCAGACTATCCAGACATTGACTTCCCGAGTAAAGAACCTCCGAACAACTCGCCATCTCTTCAACCCCTTTCGATTGTCTCCAAGTACCTAGTTTCAATGCATATGGAACATCATATAAAACAGAAGACTTGATCTTTGCACGACTTCAACTATTCCATCTACTGTCATTAGCACTGTAGCACTATGCAAATACATAGTTTTTCGGATCCACATCGTATTGGTGATATGTTTATTACCCCAGCTATGATATAGAGGAAATTTTGCAAATCCACAAGTTCCTTCTCTGTTAGAAACCGTAGCAATGAAGCGATTGTGAAGCTGATACATTAATTTCAGGAGACCCGTTGCGCCTGAAGAATGACATATTATCGCCACCTTCCTTCCTCATGCTTGTCAAACTTTCTGATAAAACGAGGTTCCGCTAGTACTTCAGACCTGTCGAATATTTCACGCGTCGCCATAGAAATCATTCTCAGTTTTCTGGGAAGAAAATCTTTCTTGGTTTGCGATAAGTTTGAAACGAGCATAGATAGATTTGGATAAATGATCGTATCACAATTTGTCATCTTGAGAAGATTTGTAATGGCCGGTGCGCACTGCAAGTCTTGGGAAAGGAGCAGAACGGTATATCCTAATCTATTCAATGCGAATAACGATACCACATGATCGACATCGGATGGACCTGCAGGGGTAATCACTTGGCCTTGATCCTGATCTCGTTAATACGGATTTCAACTAAATAACCGGAGAGACTCACTGGTGCACAACCACATCGTATATATTCTTTGGTAGCTTGATCAACGAACCTGTCCAGATTCTGGCCAGTAAATAGTTGAAAATCAGCCACGCCCTTGCCAGGCTGAAGGTAGGTAAGAATGGGGACTTGATGTACATCGGCTGCCCTTACAGTTACGATATCATCAAGAATGAGGAATTCCCCCAAATCGGAGGTAGAATCAATGGATCCCATAGCCGGATAGTTTCTCTTGACGGAAGTCACAATTTCATTATCTTCATGGTTTCTGATCACATTCGAGAAAGATCTCATATCCTATTAAATAAAGGTCTGAAGCTAAAGTGGGGCGGGTGAGATTTGTCATACTTCGCAATTCACGTAGACTGTTGCTTTTTTGCCCTGTACATCTTGTAGTTGCCACAATGTATGTCGAGACAAGCTTTGCCGAGATGAGGTGCCACAAACGTATGGAGATGGGATCACCATCCTTCATCCCATATCACTCTATGTTCCCACAATGACAGAGATAAGCGCACGAGTATAAGCTTCCATTTTGAATTATTGACATTAAGATTTCCGGAGAAACGACCAAAGAAATCTAGGCAATGAACAACACTCAGTGTTAACATGTCATCGTTATGATGAAAAGTTCTCTGTGTTGACTGTCCCAATGATGTTCATATGAAGCGAGGTGTACGTAAAGTGCTAGTGGATGACAGGGAAATGACTTTTCACCATTGAATAAATATGTTCGATCGATCAAGGATTGATGAATTTTCAAGATCAATGTGTTAGAGGAAGCTATTCAACGGCTAGCACCTACCTCAAATACCGCCTCTTACCATTTCACGACACTCTATAGGGTAAGTTTAACTTTAAGAGTTGTTCATCTGTCGTTGAAACATTGAAGTCGCTAAGAGTATCTAAGTCGAAATGAGGTGGAATGGTGAAATGAAACAACAGAATCTGCTAATGTTATATCACTTTCCGGAGAATGTTGACTATTTTGTATCGCGATCTACTGCAAGAACACCAGATTTCATAACTTCCAACCACTCCGGATCGATGGCCTCTTCATTGAGATATGGCGATATATCAGCACCTTTTGTACGATTGGAAATTGTAAAGCCGAGGCCAAGGTATGCCCATCTATATCTAGGTGAGTACTTGAATAGCTCGCTTACGACGGGTTGTAATGTCAAGGTGAACTTACGGATTATGTTTGTTTTGGTATGTTATGTTGTAATCTTCGTATCTTGGGTCCTCTATTACCTCCATATAGTGCAGGGAGCTACCAGGCCAAATCGCATTCACGCGTCCTGTCTCATTGTCTTTTCAAAATTAGTAACTGAGAGACAAGCGATGAACATGAGGCTTTACTTTTATACCAAGAACGACAACCTGAGCCTGAGCTCCAAACAGTTTTCTTCATGAACTCTTGCGTATGTGCATTGAAAAGATCCGTCATATCTTGCTTTGGAGCGATAGACTTGATGAACTCTTTTTGCATCTTTTTGATGAATTTGATAGCATAGTTAGCTACCTCGCTAAGAGGCCCCAAAACAGAACCATTTGAAATGGGCCACGTTGGTCCAATGAAAGTAATGAAATTGGGTATTTCTGGTACCGCGAGACCTGAGATTTGTCAGCCAACACCTCCCTTGCACAAGCGAATAGAATCGTTTTTACTTACCAAGATATGATTCTGGGATTTTCTTCCATTTCTCTCGAAGATCAACTCCATTTTGACCTATTATTGGGAATCGAGGGCGATATGAGACATCGAAGCCTGTGGCACAGATTATGGTATCAACTTTACATTTCTGACCTTCGCTGTCAATAACGGAGTCTTCTGTAATCTCCTCAACTGCAGAAAAATGGACATCTACATTTGGCTCTTGAATGGCCGTCATATAAGGATCGCCTACATCATTAGCCTGGCCTATTAATTATAGAGAGCACTCACCAGGAGTAATTCTGCGACAGCCGAGAGAAAAACTAGGAGTCAAGCCCTGCAGCAGCCTCTTATCTTTGATAATTTCGGCCATTCGTGCCCCAAACAATCTTTGCGCATCTTTTTGAGCCGTGCTGTCCTCGAAGAATAAATCCCAAATACCATTTATGCTATTTTCCAAGTTCTTTGTATGCTCCATAAGCGCAGGCAAGTCGTTCCTGAACTTTTCACGTTCCGCCGGGGTATATTCTTTGCTTCTTCCATCATTTCCAGCGACCGATGTGAACCAGACCGGAGTACGTACGTAAACATCGATATGCTTAACATGGGGTTGCATCTTAGGCAATGTCTGAATCGAAGAAGCTCCGGAGCCAATGATCGCCACCGACTCATTCTTCCATTGTTCTTCCTGATATTCATCTGGCCATCTTGCCGTATCTATCTCTAGTCAGTGTTCATTCCATGAACCAAAAGGCAAATTTCAACACACGAATGACTTTTCCTTTGAACTTCTCGATACCCTTAATATCTGGCCATTTGAAATTATTCAATATGCCAGTTGCATGAAGTAGCAAGTCACACGTCTCCTCAAATTGCTTCTCGCCCGATTCTGATGTCTGCTTCATCTTGACAGCCCATTTCCCAGTTTCCTCGTCCCAAAAACATCCGACAATCTCAGTATTGAAGGTCATGTATTTCCTAAGATCGAAAACTTCGCAGACCTTGTCTAGATAATTCCATATGTCTTTAGAACCACTAGCATATTTTGGCCAATCAGGGTTGAGAGCAAAAGGAAATGCATATGCGTGTGAAGGAACATCGCAAGCGGCGCCAGGGTATCTATTTTCGTACCAAGTTCCTCCGATGTCAGGGTTCTTTTCGTAAATGACATGCTCAACACTGCACAACTTAGTATTGATCTCTTTGCGTTACATTTGGTGCCCTTACTTCTGGCATTGTTTCTGGATGTGATATGCCATCATGATCCCGGAAACTCCTGCACCAATTGTGAGGACCTTGAGGCGTCGATTTTTAGGATCACGAAAGGTAATGTCAGGTATTTGATAACCATCGGCAGAAATGTTCGACGAAGCGTCGCTTTGCGCAGTCGACTGAGAAATATCTGGCGCCATGCTGAGAATTGGAAGTAACGAGATCAAGACTTAGGATCTAAGAAAAAGACTATCGGGGGTATGATAGAAAGGAAGTCTATGTATATAGTACAGACTATATGAGAATTTGAGAAAAAGCAGACCACTTTCATATCTTATGTCACCTTGTAATTAAGGAAACTTCCAGTCCCCTTCCCACCCCGCACACATAACGGCATTGCATAACTTTTCATATGCATGGTATACACGCACATGAGGCTATATTCAATTGCCGACTTCGGGAGAGCCATATCGTTGGTACGTACCTGGGTACGTACCTGGGTAGCATGCACCAGATATTCTCGGATGAATAAATTGTGTGTGCATTATTACTAACATTGCCACTTGCATAATAGGTGGGTAGTGATAGATCAGGAAATTGCGTGCCTATACGAAGTATGAGTGTTGTAATGGATCACTCAAGAAGATGGCACGATGGATTGATGATGAATATTAGGAATCTATCTGATGGTCACGTGTCGTCGTACCAATTATCATGAAAGTACGGACCGAGCAAATTATGGGTGAGATTGATAAGGATTAGATAAGGATCTGTTAGTACACTACGATGTAGTAAGTACTCTCTGCCGTTACAAAGGACAATTTTCTATTGATAACTACCTAGTAGGTACTAGATATTTTTCTTTGTCTTACTCCAACATGAAATCTATGATGGATGGTGTGTTCTGTATGGTGTGTTCTGTATGGTGTGTTCTGTATGGTGTGTTCTGTATGGTGTGTTCTGTATGGTGTGTTCTGTATGGTGTGTTCTGTATGGTGTGTTCTGTATAGTGTATTCTGTATAATATATCCTATATAATATTGTATAGTGTATCCTATATAGTGTATCCTATATAGTGTATCCTATATAGTGTATCCTGTATAGGGTAAAACTCCGTACAATCAATCACTTGGATTGATTGATTGCCCAGTGAGATACAAAGAACCAGTACGCTCTATAGGCCATGAGTTACTTAGAAAATACCAAGGGATGTACCTTCAAGACAAAGCCTATCAAAAGATCTTTTAGCATCTTAATTTAGTACCACATGGCCATTATCTTCCTTCATCGACTCTGTACTAATAAGTAGAGAAATTCATCGACCGTCAAGCATTCATTCATTTCGGTGGTACCCAGTACCTACTGTGTGTTCCTAGTACATCCATACCCAAGTATCGTCCTAAGTCTATCTAATCCTGTTTGTTAGCTCATAAGATCTCCATCCCTATCCCCATCCACATCCACACCCCATCTCATCCCATTCTCTTACCCTCTTTTCCATCATAGATTAACTTATCCATACCGTTACATTTTTATCACCTGTTGCTCATACTCTCCCAATACTCACTCAATCTATTGATGTAATCTTAATATTATTCATACCATATCCATTTTCCTTTTCCTCTTTCTCTTCATACATTCTTTTCTCGAACTGATGTACCCCTCGACTTGTTCTACTGTCATTCTATACTACTAGATATTTAGGTACTATTTCAAAGAAGAACACATTTTACATCGAAGGGCGACCATGACCACAGCAATAGATTGGGATAAGCCGGGGAAGTACCCCGTCGTTCTCAGCGATGCCTTGCTTGGAAATTCTACCAACAATACATATACTGGCATAAGATGCAAGTTGGGTCGTCTCAATGTAATGAAATCGTCTACTGACAATTGTTAGATAATCACAAACCCGATGCCTCTATCGGAGCCCCCGCGAACTCAGCACAGCTGAAACCATCTTCCAATCCCAATTCTGCGAATTACGACCTCTCTCTTTCTGACAACAATGATGATTATACATATACTGGAGCTCGAACCTCCGGAGACGGTCAATTTATACTTACATTCGATCCCGTTAGGAAGGTCTTGGTTTTGGATCGCATTGATTCCACATTCGATATGAACTTGACGAGCGCGCCATGGACCGATGATGCCGCTCAATTACAATCTCAATATGAGCAGCTGGAGCCACCGACGAAGGCTATCATTGAGGAACCTCAACCTAAAGTACCACAAAAGAAGGCTCCAAAATCAAAGGCTCCAGCAGCAACAAAAGCGAAACCTGCCCCTCGCGCGAAGGCAGAGAAGGCACAGAAGCCGAAACCACCACCGCGTGAACCAACACCCGAACCAGAAGAAGAAGAAGATTCGGATGATGGTTTCACGGTTGAATTTCCAGATGGGCAGAGCTCGCATCAACAAT